GGCTTGTAAGGGACATTAATACAACCGAGGTTCCGCGTTTTATATTCACATCGTCCGATGATTTTAATTTCTAAATACCTTATCTTCACACGTTCGAGCAACGGTGTATGTGCTTCGAGACAGCCCATCTGGAGCCCCGAACGACAACATAAATTTCCACCACGTCACGGAACAGCCAGCAGGCTCGATTATCGTTTCTCATTTTCCCGACAATGAACACTCGACGGAACGGCGCGCGGTGAATTCCAATCGGGACGACGGAATATTTATCCTGTTACAGGGAGGGGGGTGGAGAGTAAAGAGGGAGAACACAATCGATGTATCGCGACGCAAAACGCTTTGCATCGGGGATCAGAAGTCGAGCGTCGCAATCCGTCTTGGGGATACAGCATGGAATTCCGTGGACGTGCCGCCAGGAATCGCACACAGGCAGGGCAGAGGCAGACCAGGCACAGCCTCGTTCCACTTCTCATTTCATTTTCACGACGATGCCCGGCCGGTGTCCAAGTGAAAACAGCAATTCGGAAGCAGCCCGTACGACGTCGTTATCGTACGAATCGGCCGAGTTCTCTCACGAACGCGACATACGTGCCTGGAGCCCCGAGCCTGGGGCCCGACTCGCGTTTTTCTGACCGGCTCCACAGGGTTTTCGGTGTGAACGGGACCTAAAGACCCCGCGTACCGTACACGGAGGAATGTCCCGTGTGCAACAGCGACCAAGAGACAGCATAGGGACAACATTGTCGTACGACCCCCGAATTACGGTAGCTACGATATTTCTGACATGTTGGGATAATTTTGTTCGAAAAGGCACAGGTTACAGATGCAAAACCCTCAACAAACATTCGAGTGAAATGGCGTTGGAAGAAGAGAAAATTAGAGTGATGAAAGTAGAAAGTGTATTAGATTCAGTAATCGCGTGCGAATGAAGAGTCAGATTGGTTATCGATCTGGAACTACAATAGCGGATAGATGAATTTTTCGAAGAAAAGGATAGGTAGAATACTGTAGTACAAGTTTTCGAAAGCACCTATTCCGATACCGTAGGAAAGAATGAGGGAAAAAATAGAAGACAGAGCAGAAGAAGGCGTGAATGAAAAGTGGAAGAGCAAACACGCGTAGAGGGTTTCTTTCCAGAAACAAGGCAAGGAGTGGGAGGAAAGAGGGAAAGGGAGGACAAAGCGAGGAGAAAACGTACACGAGGAAGGAATACGAAAATCGATGGCCGATCGAGGATCGAACGTGTTACCTATGCGCGAGTAATAAGCCCTGATATTCCCACACGGGCCCATCCTGGCCCGGTCGTGGGAAACTCATACGTGAGCCAGCGAGGTAGCCAAGGGACGGAGGGCGGCCTTACCAGGCTAACTATTTCGACGCAGGTGCGGGGACCCGATCGGCATCGGCCGATGGCGAAGTACACTTTTTCACGTGCCAGCTGGAGAACCGATATTTGTCCCCGATCGAACTGTACGAACCACGGCACGGGACGTTTTAATTGGCCTCGTTATTTACTTGGACTTCGGCACGAGTAATTTACTTCGTCTTCGTATCGATCGATCGGTGTCCTCGCGCGAGTTCGGTGACGACTTCGTGAAGAAACTTTATGAACGCCACTGGTGTTTTACAGGAGACACCCAGTAGTGTACTGTACCGATTTTTTATTAGTGCATTACAGTTGTTTATAGACTTGTAATGAAATATAAACTTGAGACGACATGAATGTTTGAGACCTTTTTGAAAGGCAATCGTTGTATACGAGCAAAAAGGTAAAATCGGTACATACCGATCAGAGTATAATGTCACTGCATGCTTTTAATCTAATTTTAGTTGATACACGTTTTTTCAAAGTGGTTCGTAAAAGTGAGAATTTATGTACAATAACTGCTCGATGATTGGTGCCTGGGGGATGCAAAGAACTGTCGATCTTCGGGAGTAATTAGCGACACTGGAGGACGGAAAACGGGCGACCCTATGCAGGAGATCAACCGCTCGAGTCGAGCCGAGGATCACGTTTAAAAAGAATCTCATTTGCAAGCCTGCTATCCATCGGACTCGCCGCAATTTGCACCGTAATCTTGGTCGTGCTCCTTTCATGGCGGGGGCAATTTGAAAGCTGTTCGCCCCCATCCCGGGTCGAACATTTTAATGTTTTAATTTTCGTCGCGTATTAAAGTCCGTCTCTCGCAAGGAAATTTCCATGGTCCGCGCGCCGCCGCGCTCGATCGGTTGTTTATAATTCTTCGCGTGCACTAAGGAAGCAATTTAATAATAATAACAGCGGGAACGGAGAATCCTACGGGGCCCGCGTACGATCAAAGTGTGCCCGTGTGCACACGGAGGATACACGCGTATAATCGTTTATCATAATAATGCTTCGGGGTAGGTGTGTGTCTGTGTGATCGGTGTAACGCAACACACCCGTGGACGGGGATAGACAGCTGATTGCAACTTATGTTGCGCCGGTTATTACCGTACCGTGCTCCGCCAAGACGAATTAACGTTCGATATATAGTCCCGTGTCCCAGAATTTTGCACGTATACCGACATCGCGCTCGAAAACGCGCCGCCGCGTCCACGGGAGAAAAGGGGGCCCCGAAAAATATATAAGTGTATCGGAGGTGAATCTGGGCCCTGGATCGTGGCTGCATCGCAAGCTGCAGGTGCCTCTAGAAATTGAGCGGCGGGACAGAAAGGATGGGAGGGGGAAGGGTAGAGGGGATTAAGGCCCCGAAGAGGGGAGCAACCGGGCCCAGAGTGCACGCGCCACGGACGCGGCGATGCCACCGATATCTTCTTAAACTTTCCTATCCGCCCATTCATGCCCCGGCTAAATGCCTATAATTTCCGGTCCGATTACAGGGCACCGTAACGAACGCCCTATGGACCCGTGGGCCTCATCCCTTTTCGCAGTTCGGGCTTGTTACGTGGGATCCAACGAAATTGAAACGGAATGATCTTCCTCGCCTTCCGTTCACCTCGCTCCACCTCACCCCCGTACCCAGACACACTTTTTTCGTTCGCCGTTCGGGGACCATTGGCGGAATGGTATATGTATATATGTATGTATATGTATATCTGATGTCTTCGGCCCGATCCGAGAACCGATGATCGGCTTCGGTTAAGCAAACAGTGAAATTGAGATGGACAGCTGGCGGTCCGGTTACGATTTCAGGGCGGGCCCCGAGGGTTTTCTGCACTCGCGTCACGTTCCATGGTTGGAAACGCCACGGTCCCGGAGTACCGACGAGTTAATGACGGGGCCGTGGAATACGTAACGTGTTCGGTGTTTTCGTTGGAACGGTACATACACTCGGTTCGGTTAATTAATAGATTTTGAAAGTGGATCCCGTAGATGCAATGCGTGATATAACTATAAAATCACCTTAAAATTTTCAATTCTTATGTATTGTGGTTAAAATAGAAACGAACTAAATATACCATGTCTGAAATCATGTTGCGAAATAATGTTTCTCCAGAAAAGGATAAATTATATTCCCTAGAAAAAAAGTGGTTTTACAGTTATACCATGCAGTGTATGCCACGTATGAAGTCATTGTCGCTGATGGGGGCGTCGATTAATGAATATCGTAGAGAATTTATGATTATATTTGTCGAAGGTATTCGACGGAACTGCTAGTTGCTAGTGGAAATGGATATAAGAATTTTCTCTGAGAACGATACTGTACTCTGTCTAAAAGTAAAAAACTGCTGCACGCACTAACGATTGCATAAGGAAAATTCCAATAGTAGGATTTCCAAACGAATTACATAAATTGAATTGCTTCCTCAACCAATGCAAACATACATCCAATCCATTTTTCCAATCGGTAATTGTTTCCACGGATCGTACCGGGCGATATTAAAAGATCGACCACCAACGTAGTTCAATTAGGATGAAACGGGACAGGAAAATATACGTTCGGTAGTCATAACAAGCTGCTCTTGAACTCGCGAGACTCGAGGAGGATGATTCGAGATTTTGTGGAATTTGACGGAATAATTAATTCCATAAAAGTGGCTCGATGTCGTTCCATCGGTTTATTGCGAGGAGGAGATCGGTGGAATGTCGATGCAATGAAACGTCGGTAAATTAACCCGGTGATCGCATGAACGGTGAAGCGGTTTTAATTTATAATGTGCCAATTAGAGGCTAACCGAGATTTGATATCATATCTATAATCGTACTTCGTTAACGGATGCTCGTTATGTAAAGCATCGTTGCTGAGAATAGAAACGCTCAGGTGGCTTTTTACCGATCCCCCCATTCGCGCCCGTATCGAATATCGATTCTGCTATTTGAGTATGAAGTATCCCTACGGTGAAAGTTGAATTTAATATGCAATGGTGGCGTTTGTAACAGTTTTCCGAATTGGTAGGAAAATTTCGACGATAGTCTGTAGGATTTCAGCGTGTCGTGCATAGAGCACGACCGTTTCACGAATTTCACGATACGCAAACAGCGCTATGTTAAATGTTATGATAACGCGTAACACCGTAGACTCCACCTGTGCACCGTGGATTAGCTTGAAGATGGCTTCTCTGAATGGACCCGCTATCCGGTTATTTTAAATACTTGCTCGGAATATTCGCGGAATATTTCAGTGTTTGAATTTTCAATGTAAATATAAATACAATTCGATATAAAAAGAGTGTCAACGGTGTTTTCAAATAACGTAGATCTTGAAAACATTCAAAAACAAAACTCATCCCTATTTGGCAAAGCTTCTACAATATCTCGAAGAATAATGACAACGCATTAAATTAAATATGAGCTCGAATAATTCTGACAGGAGATTAACTTTATCCTTCTTGTGCACGACTACGAATTAAACCACCAAGTGGTTCCATCGTGAACTCGAAAGGAAACCTGCATAATACTCCTTGAATAATCGACTCAGTTATAAATAACTGAAGCGAATCACTTTTCCGCATTTCAGCCCTGACCACCCTCGAACAGTCCACCATGGTGAATAAAAAGGTAAAAAAAGTCTGCTCACCTCCTGTTGCTGAATTAGGAAGTCGGGGGCGGGCGGAGGCGGGGGTGGTTCCGAGCCGGAGACCTCTTGAAGCAGTCCCACGTGCTCCCAGCAATCGTCCGATATGTCCATGACGGTTCCTCTGTCCTTTTCTTCAGAGAACGTTCTTCGGGGGTGAACAGGCACACGAAACTCAGCTCGCGGTTCACGAACGCCGCGGTAACGAGATCGAAACAGTGGTCCTAACCCTGGGTTGTAGTTAACTTCCGGATCCCTTTTTGTTTTCACCCGCGGCGGCGTGTTCTCCAGAGAGGAAAAAGGAAACGGAAACTGCCGTGGTACCACGCACGACGCGACCCACTCACACTATCTCTGTCCCTTCTGGCAGGCAAGCAGGCAGACAGGTTCGTCTCTCGGCTGTCACTGTGATCGGGATACTCGAGGAAGCGGTTGGTGTCTCGTGGCTGATGAGAAGGACCCCCAGTGTACACACATCTACACAGCACACACAGAGGGTGAAGAGCGCGCGCGCAAAAAGAAAACTGGCGTAAGAGGACGCACGGGACACAAACAAAACACACCCGTATGTGTAACCGTGTCTCTGTCTCTCGATGACGACGACAACGACGCAACGTGTCGCGTGACCCGCGTTCTATGACGACGACGACGGCGTCGAGGACGACGACGGCCGTCGGTGGTGGTCAGTCGGCGTGGAATGAAGTTGGCCCGCGGGTTAGGTTGGGTTAGCCGTGGCCGGAGTTGCAGCATCAAGCGGAGAGGGACGACGAGAGGGCAGAACGCGCGGCAGGCGAGGCGAGGCGAGCGTACGAGCGGGTATATAGCGAGTAAGCGAGCAACCCGAAACAGGGAAGAGGTAGGAGAGAGCGGAGTGAGAGAGAACGGAACATAGCGGTGCCAGAACGTGGAAGCGAGAGGTGTCTCGCGAGGGGGAAAACGACTGGGAGCAGAGCAAGGAGAGACAAAGAGGACGCACAGGGCGAAAGGGGAGATCGGGGGTGGGAGAGAGAGACGGAGGGTGTGCACAAGCGTGAGACAGAGGGTGGGGTCAGAGAGAGAGAGGCATAAGGCGTAAGTCTGCCCTAGTCGCTCGCTTAACCGTGCAGGAGGTGGCGCCAATATAACCCGTACTCCACCTCCGTCCGACAAAGAGCTTGCGTATACCTGTATGCGCCTGTTGGTAGGCCATACCGCCTACCCGACTACCGTATTGCAGGATTTGTGATCCGTGCCGCGCCGGTGATTATTCCGATTTCACTTATATTCCGTCATACACTCTGCTTTTACGTCGCTCATTTGCTTGCCTCCATCCCACCTTGCCTCCATTGCCACCCTCCATACCTCCTCGTGGATACTGTCTTTCCGTCCATTCCATCAAGGAAACGTACCTGTAATATAGAGTCTATACACTTGTAGGTTTGAAGAGGATCGTCAGAATTTATACATGGAGGATCTACGGGGTGGTAACTTGGGGTGCGTTTAGATCGCTGGGACAGTTTGTTGCGGAACACTATTGAAATTCCTGAATGGGTGTTGTAAAGGTGGACTCTCTAAGTAACCCAGGGTTTTTGTGGAACTTTGGCCTGGCTATGATAGTTGTGTTTATTATTCTGCAATAGGACTCACGCGAAGTATTCTGAACTGACAAATGTTTCTATCAAAAGACCATTTCGCACAAGTCCAACGATCGCCGTTCAGTTACAATAAAACCAAACTACTCGACACAATCAGTACCTACTTGGATAAGCGATCGCGCGAAGGTTCTCACGTACCTTCGACGTAACGATATCCCGTGACTAAGTCTCACCTGAGACTATAAATTCCTAGCTCACGATCAATATCGACCAGCTCTGATTAAGACCAGGAACAGGATCCTCCAAGCGTCTTCTGCTTCGCCAAACCGGGCACTAAATACGAAATCGCTCTCCAGTCGTTGTAAATGCACCCCGAGGAAATGTAAAACGGCGATGAGAGCTAGCGAACCGATTCCCGATATTTCATTCGTGTCGGTGAATCGAGCGCGGTCGGTTCGCGATATCGAGTCGCGTCGTAAATCTCTAAACGAGGGATTAACACCTTTCCCGGACTCGGCGGAGATCTACGTTTCAGGTGAACCGTATATCGCGTTACTTATCGCAATTACCGCAATTCTCCATTTCCTTGAATCGATCTGTCGACAACGCGGGGGGAACCCGAGTGGGGTGGGACGATAGCCCGCGCGTTGGCGCCGATAAACGATCGTTATCCCCGATCGGGCCTGCCCTTACCTTTCACGTGTACCTCCCGATAATCGGCGACGACGTGGGCGGCGTGGCGGCCTCTCTGGGACGACGCGGACCTCGTGCGCGAACTCACAAAGCCCCCTCGGCCTGGACAAACGGCTCCGCTCTGCACCGTTCTCTCTCTCTTTTTCTTCCTATCCCGGCGATCCGGATGTTCCTTTCCGCATGAACGGAACCGTCGCGAATGCCTGCCATTTGCCGCGACGTCGCACGGTGTACTGGCTCGTCATCTCTACGTCAACGAGTCGCTGTTGCAGTTTTCTTGCGTGAGTACATATCGGGTTACATTGCATTTAAATTGTGTCACGATCCGAGTGTTGATGACTTTGATAAATTAATCGTAGATAGGTAAAGTGTTTGTTTAGATAGAATGTCTTAGGTACGATAGGTCCTTGGAAGTTGTTTGTTGAGTGTCCTGTGCACTTCCGTTTTGGAAGTCATCGAGAAATAGTATAGGTTTATTTGATAAGTCTATACTGGTTTGTGATGACTTCCTAACTGCAAGTTCATTGAGATGCATGATAGACGATCATCTACATGGATAGGCTCTATCGTGTAGAATTGAAGTAACCGGTATATACAGTGCTCAAGTAGAAAAGAGGGAAATAAGCGAAGAAGTTGTCACTGTTACTCTTGTCGAGTTACTTTACGAGCCTTTACCCCAGGTGAATTCTTCTCTGCCAATAGCATTTTCTATTGTTGGCTGATCGTGAGCTGGAGAACCCGTTACGGACGTATTTAGACACCTACACAGAGTGTATCGTCGAAACGAACTTCAATATGTCTTCGAGCACCTTCAACGTTCTACGCTGTTTCCATCGGCACGGTTTCCAAGAACAAGTTTGTGGCTGGATAATGCAAATGAATGTAATTTTCGAAGTTAATAACACAGTTCCCTCCCTGAGCGTCGCTTACGTCTACGATATACACTTTGTAAGAATCCCGTGCAGAAGTCCTGAAACGCGAGCTGTAATAAGTATTCCCGAGGATAAATTACAGGCTTGTGGGGTCCGGTTATTACATGCTGTCACCGCCGTATCGTCAGCGGCTTTTTCCGCGATGTTTTTTGCGGTCGCGATCCTTGCAACAAATCGCAAGATAGTTGAAAAGACCGTCACGCGATAGGCGATTGCATACATATACATATATGTACATCGAAACACGTGTCCTGGGACGAGCAGTAATGGCACCTCCGTGAACGTCACACATGGGCCCGTATATTTCGTGACACACTTTTCGTCGATTGGGACGCGCAGGTAAGTGTACCGAGGACGGTAGTACGAGCGGAATGTCGGACAGGGTTTTCTCCAGCTTATAAACTCGACGTCGCAATTCGACGTGATGTTCTTGCTGTGGCGTACACCTTGTGATTGTCATCGAATACTTTTCGCTGAGGGTAACTCGCGTGTGTATCGCGGAGGTACAAGCGAGCACGTGGACACCAGTCCAGGCCAGCAGTCGAACGAAGGGCCGGAATGCGATATGAATGCGTTAATGCGTCGTTATTGACAGCTACACGAATCGCTGATAGTACTTTCGACCCTCTTCCGCTCGCGCACTCTCACCACCGAACTGCATGGACGCATTTCGTTCGACCAGCGCCCCCCTTTTTTCAATCCCCCTCCTCCTACCACCTGCCACCACTTTAATTTCATCCCTGTCGTACCCGTCGACTGGCGTTACCTGGCTTAAAACGCTACTACTAGTCGCCACTTGGCAGTCGGCATTATCGCCCTGGATACACTCTGAAATCGCACGGGCTGGCGCATCGTCACGTGAAAGATTGATCGTGACCGGACTGCGACATTCTCGCAACGATAAACGCAGCTGCGTGCTGCGTTAATGTTGTGAAACGCATCCTATATCACGCGTTGTTCCTCTTTGAAAACGTTTAAATCGTGTATATTTTTTATTCAGATGCATAGGCAAGGGGTGGGGACACTTGCTCCTTTCTCTGGACGAAAAAAAGTGGCTTTTTCCTCACCCTACAAGAAAAAAATTGGATCTTGCCCCCCCTCAGCCCTTCCTAGAGCTACAAAATTTTTGCGTAGTATTTAATAATGCAGTATAATTTGAAACACGACCAACAGCCCCTATTAACAAAACGCATACAGATTCAACGATTTATGACTAAGAAACGAAATAAAGCGTGTCTGACTACGTACGGCCTTTTTCACTGTGGCAGTCGATGCGTTAATATTTTTGCCCCACCTGACTGATAACCTGGCTATGCCCATGTTCAGGTGCCAATCTTGTAATTTCAATAGATAAAGGGACGTAATTCGGAAGGGGAGGCAAAATAGCTTGTTCCTTGTCGATAGAATAAGACCCATCGACTTTAATCAAAGGCACTAATAGTTTGCAGGTGCCGCATGCCGGTAATAAAAATTTGATGACAAACGTTCGAAGCAAATACCTTTCAATTTCCACGAGGCCTTAGAAACACGCCGGTCAGCTATTAGCCGCGCCAACGTATACTTTGCTCTTTTCGCGGCGAGCTCCCGGCCACACCAACGGGAAGCAGCAGCCGCGCGACCCTGTGGGTAGAGTGTTGATCGAGCCCTCGACTTTGCATGCACGGAGAGCCGCTTTTGCGACGGGGAACGACGGGGGACACAGTTGGTTCGGTTTGGATACGACCAGCCACGATAATATGTAATGCCTGTATGGAGCCACGGAGTCTTCGATCGCGAATCTTTGAAGTCCGAACCTGCGGCTTGCCGCGACGGCAAACGGTCCCGCTGGCCAGATCAAGTACTAAAAATCATCGGGGTAAAACTATGAGAAAGCCAAACACGCGCGCTTGGAGCTCATACGCCGTGGTCAGTCCTTACTTCATTCGTCTTTTTCTTCTTTTTTTTTCTGGTACATACCTACGTGGAACGAGCAAGTATATACGGGCGGAACACCTGTGGCCACTTTAAACGACGCCGTGGTAAACGGTAGTCAGGATAGATTGAACGGTCCGATAGGGTTTTAGCTCTCTTCTTTGGTTAGCGAGGAAATCGAGTCTCGTGCGCGCTTTTAACCCCTCGACTCATTAGAGCCCATAACTCTGTTCAGCGGAAACTTTTCACGTACAAACGGCTACCCCGTACCTGTATCGTGGTCATCAAAGAAGAAGCGAGTACCTATGTCCTCTTTAACCACTCGGTTATACGGTATATATATTTTCACGTCGCGAGGTATAATCCTTCATGTTACCAGTTACATTTATTCCCCAATCGGAATGAGAACTTGTTACCGATACGTATTTAATCGCGATAACTGTTCCGAAACGATGCAGGGCATTAATGTCGCGAGTATAATACCCGTGGTAATCGTACCGAATGTTCGATCCGTGCGACGTATTCGAGAAGTTTCATTCAACGTCTCTCTCTCTCTCTTTCACTCTGCCTTCCCCTCCCACCTCTCCAGTTTTTTTCCCTCTCATCGTCCTTCCCGGTGACGTTTTTTTTTTTTATTCGAGGACATGAAATTACGAGTTCGATTAGAAACTGACCGGTGGGGTTTGTTACGCGTTATTGCCGGTTTTTCATCCGGACCTCCCACTGTCCTTCTAACGAGACCACCGAGGGTACGGGGGACTAAAAACCGCGCAAAGAAACCCACCAAAGTGCGGTCTTTATACGGTACGTTTTATATCACGGCCGATACGAGCGCAGGCGGCGGCAGTCGCTCCAATTATGGACGAATATATCAGTCGATCTCGTCGGATACGCGGCAACGTTCCGCGACCCCTTTATATGGCAAAAACGATAGCGCGCGCGAAGTCAGTCATCGGCGTCGGCTCCGATATTTACTGTTACACCGCGACGTTCCGTATATTATCGTTCCTGAAGAGGACAACATGTGATCTAGATGCAGCACACTTTTTTTTTTGCTTGCGCGATTCGAGCACATGTGAGCGCGCACCGGAATTCTATGCGCAAGAACACAGCCGGCGCTAATGCCTGTTCCGCATATTGTCATGTAGAGTTCTAGCGAGCCGCAGCGCGTGGATAATTTTGTTCGAAAAAGGAAACCGTAGGTGGCGGTCGAGGAGCCCTTCATTGTTTGCGCTCCTCCGTAAGCGGAGGTTGGTCGCGCATCTGTTCATTAGTCGTGCGCAAGAAGTCTGTCGTGCTAAGCGAATCTTTTCGTAATTTAATTCTGTAATTGTAATGATGTGCACAGGAAGATGGAAGTAGTAGTTGAACGCAATTCGTAATGTTCATATATAGCGGATAATATGAACTGTGCGACTTTATTTCCGGGCGTCGCCATCTTGGATTTCTATTGGGCTTCCGTTGATAATAGTCTGACGATAAATTATAGAGAGTGGTTCGCAGAAATTCGGAACAGAAAATGAAGGAACAAGGTGTTAAGTATATCATCTTCATGCGAAATATTTCTGTTACTTTGAGGCACCGAAAGATGCTCCCCGACTGGCCGATTACGACAGCAAGCTCGCTTTCGAAGTAACGTTTTCAGTGACCCAAGGATGAAAGAAATCGGCGGAAACCATACATTACATAATGAATTCTTGTACACGCTCAGTGAACCGTGACACAATCAAAAAGAACGAAAGGCATTCCTTCCCGTGTTGCATTGTCCAGGAATTAATTAAAATGGCGCGAGAACAAACGGCCACGAAAGTCGTACGATGGAGAGGAAAAAAATAAACTCGTCGGCAGAGGCGCGTCTCTCCTCCACGGAATCCCAACGGCGACATATCACTGGGCGGTAGATCACACGGCCGGTCTTTCGCAGTTTGCACCGGGACCGGGATAAAGCAGCGCGCTGCTGAGGACCGCGCGCGGCTGCAGAGAGGCCCCGGCGCATCTTTTACGTATGCACGAGCATAAGCATAACGTAAGGAGGGGGGAACATGGGTAGATGATATCGTGGATGCACCTACGGGGCCCCGGGGCGTCGACGCGATTCCTTTGTCCTCGTTCCTCGGGCCGCTCGTTCTTCTTCGCCGCAAGACCCCGTTCGCCCCCGACCTCTTTGGTGCTCGCACACACGGACATTTTGTTCGCGGAAATACCTACCACCGTCCGCCCCAATCTCGTGCATCAATCCCGAGCCCCCGGGGCCATAGAATCGTATCAAAAGAAACATACTGGCGCGCGCACCGGCTACCGCACACGAAAAGATTACCATCTGATCTATACCGAGATGCCCGGATACTCTTGTTCCGCGGTTCGAAATGTATTTCTTTTTGTCCTTTCAGTTTGCTCTCCTCTACCCCCGCGGTTAGGAGACACGGGTATTCACACGCCGGTTTGTAAGTTGTAATTACTTTAATCGACGTGATCTCTGGATCCTAACGACCGACGGATAAATGGCGTTACAAAACACGCTTGATGCTCTTTCCGTCGTCCCATTTCGGATACCCTATTAGCGGGTTCTTAGAGGGCGGAGATTAATCGCGGTCGTTATGAATGTTTTAAATATGAGTTTGACCGTTGAGGCACTTTAAACGGGACATGGCTCAATCATTATTCGTCATTTCATTAGAATATCGTCGATAAAACTGGGGGTTAATTATAATGGCACCGGGACGCTTCCTGCTACGCGGGACACGCATTTATGCGTGCACAGTAGTGCGTGCTGCACGCACACCCCAAACCCTGTTGATCTACACTCGCCACACTATATACGGACTTTCGTGGCTCGCGTATATTTTTTTTTTAAGTTCCCGCGGGTGGTTACCGAAGCCGTTTTCATCATTACGAAACATTATCAGGAAGAATTGTTGTTAGTATACCGTTGAACGGTTATCTGGGTAATCTTTCTCATAGGATTATAAATATCATGCAAATCGCGGAGTCCTACTCGCAGCTACGATGCGGGCACATCGGCCGATGCATCACGATTAGTATCATTTAAGCGCTTCATTTGATTGTAAATTAAGCGACTATTTTTCAGAGGATTACATCGTTATTCGTACGAGTCTCGTGACAGCGAAACGCAATTATATTCCTGTAATGGGATTTCTTTTGCAATTCATAAATGAGTTTATCGGAGATAGATTCTACAGACTGTATACCTTATTCGCCTTCTTCAATTCCATTACATATATCATGGAAACTTGTGGAACTACGTACTACTTAACCTATCTGAAATGCTAATTGTCGGACTAGATATGAGCCCAACTGTATTTGTAATCTTATCGAATTTTATTCAGTCCAAAATTTTGCTCACCCACACACAGGCGAAGTGTATTTCGCTGTGATAATAACGCGAGCAATAATTGACAATTGAGTGTGAGAAATTCAAACGGGCGTTTTAGTAAAAATTGTATTTGTATATCGTTGAACGCCGGCGACGGATTTACCGGCCGGACGTCCGCATCGATGGGAATGAAACGCGTCGGACAGCTAAAAGGTTTTGCGAATCGTCTATTTGCACGAGCGAATCGAATGTCAGGCCCGAATCGTCGCTCGTTCGACACGAGCCGCCAGTAGTCGCAGAAGCGAAAAATCGGCTTTCGCGTTCGTCCGCGATTTTCTGCTCGCCAGGTGACGAGATGGGGACGCAATCGAGCGGTTCGATCGCCTGGTACAATTTATAATGCCATATAATTGAGTGGTATTATGCGTTATGCATGAGGGGTAACGATTGCATCCGTTAGTAATGACGTTAACAATTTCTTTCTGTAGCATCGATACAATTACAGCTTGTTAGTACATTATTAAGAATGAAATTACAGGTTGCGTAAGAACGTGTACGCGTTTTCACGCATACGTAATCTTTATTTGCATTTTTAAACAGCAATTAGATCCCGTCGTTCATTTGTTGAAAAAGCATTTCATTTCTCCCGCGGTATTAAACGTTGTGGCTGTACCACCGTTAAAATGAAAAAGAACGATTTGCATTTAGTTACATCCGTTTAGGAGAAGCCAAGGTTTTAGTTTCGGTATTGTATACGCGCGAACGCAATCTGAATTCGTTACGCGCGGTGCGGTACGAAAGTGGCACAGAGGTCGTTTTTATCGACAGCGTGGTGAAACAGGCCGCTGGCGGCGCTAGTGTACCAGTCAGTAGTGACAAGATGGCGACGCCCAGCGAACTGTCTCTCGAGGAGATACGCAGATATTTATTGGAAAACGGAGGTACTGCTCGTAACCACGACGTCGTGAAGTATTTTAAGAAGTTTCTAACGGACCCCGAAACCAGAGGTACGTCGAAATTCCGGCACGGAACGCGACCGACTAACTGTCTTGTTACGCCGAGGTGTGACCTTAAACATTGCCCCGTACGCTGTGTGTAAACACAGAACGGAGTCAATACTTGTCACGCCCGGCGAGATACGGAACGACAGTCACTGAACAAATGCACGAATTCTCACGTTACAGTCGAGGCACGGAATCGGTTCAAGGAGTACGTAAACACCCTGGCCACCATAAAGAACGAAGAGGTATGTACGTCATTGAGTGAGCAATTCCCTTTCCGCCTTGACAGGAGCGACTTGTTGCGCGCGGCACGACGTTGCCGGTTTTACGAAGTGTCTCGCGCGGGAGATAGAAAGGTTAGCTTGTTCTCTAACGAAATACTATTTTCTCTGAATTCGTATTTCTTTTTCTAATTGGAATATTATTGATATTTGTTTTATTTGCGTAAGTACATATTCGAAATTGGCGCTGCATGCCTTAACGTTATACGTATCATATTTGCTTTCTAATTTTTTATTGGTCGAACGCGTCGGTGGCTGCTCCGATTGGTTTAGAGATCGCGATTATCGTTTGAACTGTACATATTCAACGAAGCGAGTCTCCGAAAGAATCTAACCTTTTTCGTACATTTCCGATAGAGTGAATAAGTGTATCGAGGTCGTTATGTGTTTAATGGAGCAAATAATCACGTAGTGTAGTCTTCGCGCGTAAAGTTAGTATATTTGAAACGTTTAATGTGTTTGACTTACATGAACCTGCGAAACTGCCAAAAACCGGTCGCGTCGTTCCTTGTGCTTGGCGTTGTGCAATGTTCCGATTGTGAGTGCAATTGTTCCGTGCAGGGGGACAAGTATTTGGTTCTCAAGAAGAAGTACCGGCAAAGTTCTCTCGAGCTTTCTTCCCCGGAGGAAATAGGGTCGCCCATTGCCACTCCTGACATAACCCCGGTCTCGCCGTTACGTGCTCCACCGCCGTATCGGCCGCCGCCCCCCGCGCCCCTCAGTCCGACCACGACTACGGCGGGAACGGTTCGCGAGGAGCCGTGTTCAAATTTCGCTCGCGAGGAGGCAGCGATCGACACGCGGAAAAATGGCGGTCACGGTGTCGAGACCGGATTTTCAACGTCGTCGCCCCCCGTGCCGCCACGCCGTAAAAGTCAAGATAAGATCAAGATCGAGAATAAGGAGAACGTCGACAGAAACCGGGGAGGAGCCGAAGCGATTATCAAGGTGAGTCTCTCCAGCATGTACACACATACGTAGTTGCAAAGAAAGCGTGAAATATTGTCGGCATTTTGGCGCGAAAACTTCTGTGCACTTCAAATGGTGCTTTTTAGCCCGCGAATAATGACGTCTGGGTCTGTTTTGATCCGAGATTTAGCTTTATTTGAATACATTTGAAAAGAATTATGCATAGGGGATTCAAACAGACCTGGGCATGAGTGTTTGTATCATCGGCAAGAACGTTCACCTTACGTGGGTTAAAATGGTACCAACGGTTCCATGATTTTAACCTCTCCGATCTGTATACAGTCTCCATACAGTATCTCGTTACAGGAGAAATTATCATTTAAAATATCAAATTATACTAATGATATACTGTTCATTCGAAATATGTATCCGTAGATCGATGTAAAGTTCAAAAGTTTGTTGGGTCGGAGGAGTTAAACGATACTTCTGTATGTATTCAAGCTATTAACGATAACGGATCTAAATGTTTCGGAGAATTGGAATACCTTGTAAATGTAGCTGATTAAAATGTTGCTGTTACACGCTCGAAACTTATATAATTAAATTTATACGTATCGGCTTATTTGACGATAAGAGAACGAAATGTTCGATAAAATTTCACGTTGGTTTTTCTTTAAATCGGCACGCCATATGTGTAGTTTTTTTGTTGTCTGTAAATCCTCGGTTGTGGTTATACACGAAAATAATGCCGTGTAAATGATAAAGTGGTGAAACATGGATACGCTTTATCACACAGTCACTTGCGACTAGATAATTTGGGCATTATTAGGCGATATTGTTGCGTGTACAGGGTTTGGTTATATAGAAAGGTGATCATGGGTACAGTAAATGTCACTTAAGTGGCTGTGATGGCGAACGTAATACACGAAACTGAGATCTGCCTCACCCAGCGTCCTATTGTTCCGCTAAAAACGCACGCGCTGTGTGTAGTGATGTAGATGTGATGTAACCTTTTTTTGTGAAAGCATTTGTCAGTCGAAGGCACTTAGCGGGATTCCATTGTGAAAACGTCTTTCTTTGAGTAAGTCATTTTAATAAGATCTTGACGTACTCGTTTGAGAAACACCTGTCCCTTAAAAGTAATTGGCTGCATGAAGGAATAAATGATACTTGTACAGGATGATTCGAAAATGATGTGCATACAACTGGTTTCATAAATTAGTTAATACAATTCATTTTTTAGCGTTCAAACATTTATATCGGTGGTAGGATTCACACTGAAAATGTGTATACACTTTTTTAATTATCCTGTAAATCGTACGGTTAAAATCATTCCCAGGGCTCAAACCTGTCCCTCATCTATCACGTAAGAACACTATTTCAATCTACGAAATTTCAGCAATACAGTCCATCTAAAAAGCCTTTCTGTGTCTCTCAAATATCTCGTCGAAATCGACTGTATCACGTAAGACTTACCAAAGAATCTTATCACTACTATTTAGTCTCGCCTCCTCAGCATGCCCGCACATCATCCAACGGCTATAAAGCTTTGATTAGAAGCACGGTAGCAAACCATAGAACCCAAACACCGCCATTCTCATTTTACGCTCTTTAAACAATCCTCGTCAGCCTATTGATTCTTGTCAGTCCCATCTGTCGCTATATATGCATATTTGTTGGTTTTCCGCGTGCAAACCAGTAGTTGGCCCGTAGTCGCGTGTGTTGTTAATCCCCATACGAGATTCGGCAATTCGAGATATTAAACGTGCAGGAAGATGAGGCTGTCGCGGGGAATCCCAGCTCGACCGAGCAATTAAGCTTCCGCGAGCGGATGCAACGTTTCAACCGGATGGCTAGCGAAACCGATCTCCAAGGCAGACCTAACGGCACTATCACGCCCACTAAAAAGCGATCAGACAAGGTAACCAATAACTCTTTCTCTCTTAATCACCAACATTTTTTTTCTCTTCTGCTCGAAACCGTTCGCGTGCACGCTTTCACCCAGGTGAACTCGCCGGTCGGTTTCTCGCGTCGTCGTCGCGTTGCACCAGGGGGGAGAGTCAGGATAATTACTTTCTGGGCCCGATCCCCGTCCACCGGGATTATGCCCGGGTAACCTATTCAGAGATTCATTGACTAACAAATTGCGTGGCCATTCTTTCGCGGGATACGCATTCCGCGGGCGAGGCGCGCCCGCCTGTTAACCCGTCTAATCGCGATCGATAATCGGTCGCTCGCTGCGAAATAACGGAGTCGCGTGGCAATTACAAAACTCAGCGAATAAGCTAAATTGAAGGAGCTGTTCGAAAAAATAAAATAAACCGTCGGGAAGAATAATGGCGAGATGTCAGTGGCAAATCGCGAAATAATACGACGATATCTATTAACTCCGCCTAATAACATCCTGGCTAGCTTTTGCTTCTATTTAACTTGCTATCCCGATCGACGCTTTGTAACGATACGTTGGAGAGGCACAAACCGTGTGTGTAACGACCGCGACTGAACGCACTGACATTCACGATTCCAGCGTCCCGTATAAAATATCGACAAATTACTCCGGTCTAAACAGAAAAGATTTGCACTATCCGCCCGGTGATCTTCACGCGGATGTAATTCATGTGAGAACACGCGTAAAGGAGCTCCCTATCTACAAATAAGTATCTTTTATTCCCCGCGGGATAAGCATCTGGCTAATAACACCGGCCGTTTTTAAACGTTTCGAATCGTACACCTCCATCTACGAAACGCCATCAGCCTCGACACCGTGAGTTACCGCGGTGAAGGGCAAAGAAAAAAAAAATAGCGAAAAATCCCAAGAGAATCGCCACGGATAAATGGTCTCAATATATCGAACGATCCGCGAGGATATACATCCTATATCAATATATCGAACGATCGACGAGGATACACATCCTTTGAGGGATGGAAGGGACTCTTTCTCGAGTGTATACAGGGTCCGACTGTGCTCGTCTTGCATACCGAATAGACTACTAAGAATCCTTTTCTCGTATCCTTTACACGCGCGCCTCCCACTCTACTCTCTTCAATTTCTTTCATCCTTTTATTCCCGTTTCTCGTTCTCTCTCTCTCTCTCTCTCTCTCTCTCTCCCCCTGCATTAAATCCGCCTGTCGTTGTTCGTGCGCCGTTTATCGCGGCGAGCAATATTCATCGCATTTGAATATCCTGCGGGCGGTATCTCGCGTACCGATCAGGATGTTGCGTCGATGTTGCCGTAAATCATAATTAGCCGCGCCTGAAAATTAAAAGTGGAGGAGGCAGAGGGTGGAGGACAAGAGAGAGAGAGAGGGATAAAGGATCCTTTTCGCCGCAAAACCTTGCACGGGCGCACACCACCGGTCGTCCTTTACGCGGCCCATTCTCCATCATAATTTCGATATGTTTATCGTGCCGAACGATTAAAAGGACCGACCACGTGGAACTTTACGGTGGAACCTACGCGGTAGTTGCGTGGAAAGAACAGAGGGAACCACGAACAACCACAAAATTTGTCTTCCCCAATTAAAAGTTCCAAAAAACTGACTCCTTCCCCGCCAAAAGGACACCTGAAAATATTCTACGTGCTAGAACTACAAAATCCAACGGAAATACAAAGTAGCTTTCGTGACATTCGTCCCTGTACCAAGCCGCAAAGGATTCTCGCGGGTGGCGCGTGGTTCCACGACGTTTATTTATTATTCCCGCCCTGGCGACCATTTGTGGCGGTTCGTCTTTTATATACGAATTCGACAGGGGCCGGGCTGTTAATTTTTATTAGCCGTGGATAGGGTTCCCCTGTACTCACCACGGTGAATCCTCTCGCCTCCGGACATCCTGTAATCTCCGGGGAGCTTCGTGGGTAGTGACTTTCTCTCTCTTTCTTCGCCACGTCGGAGCCTTCTTTACCGGGTAATTATCATGCACTGTGGCCACGGCATTTCGCCCCTCGCATCCGAAATGACCCCCGTCGTCATCGTCTAGCGTCCGTGTCGCGTGCCGCGTCGTTTGCCGGGCCGATCGTCCGCTCCGCGTCGACACGTTTTCACGTAATTTTCCGGCGTGCTTTCCTCGAACGGGCTCGTTATGGGTCATTGAATGCAGCGGCCGGTTACGTGTCGATTGGAACGATCACGTTACCGTGACGATGACAATTAGGAGAGTGGCGAGGCGAGTTGGGAATCTTGATCGGAGACGTACCCACGGGTTTACAAATAGCTTCTATAGAATCGCACAAATCTTTCTATTTTCTGTACATGATTTTACTGAACGAGTAAATTCTCTATTCGATCGAGTAGGGTTGAAGTATCGTGATAAAGATAGACGATTAAAGTTCTAGCTCTGTGAAACTTGTGAATTTAGATAATTCCCGAGACTTTTTTTTTAAAATAATTTCCCTCGAAATTCTCTGGATTTCGCGTTAACCGAATGGAAATATGAAAACGATGCTACGAAGTTAATGCGGTTATTCGTAGTCATCGCGCCGACGGGGGCTACGGAACTCCGCTCGTTTTTATGTAAATGCGCTCGAAAATGTGGGTGGTAAAGAATACTATTAACAGTTGTATCTTCGTGAGAATTTTCTGTAATCGTCTGTATATACGTTCCCTCTTTTTCCACGGAGGCAGTCTCTCACATACCAATATATTCCCGAAGAAATTTCAAGGATCGTTCTCAGACATTTTTCGAATCTGTCGAGGCTGTATAATAATTACCTTCGATACACCATCCGCGTTCCTGATCACCGCGAAATTTCTCGACTCACAATAACGAGGAAAAAGGAACTTCCCTATCTAATTCTTGGTGTTCACCGGAACTTCTTCCTTCTTGGGGACCCCGTATTAAGGGGTGAGCGCGTAACGCCGTGGGGCGTCTCGCGATACACCTAACAAGAAAGTCCGCTTTTACTTCGACACCTCGAGGACGCGTTCTAATTAGGATCACGCGTGTTCCGCCTCTTCCACGGGCGAGTCTTGTCGGTAGTTCGTCCTTTCCGTATGCTGGCGGAAATAGCGAGAGGGAGAGAGAGAGACAGAAGGTGCGCGCCAGAGATACTCATCGTAAAGGCACCTAACACGGCCATGCCGAACTTGGAATTTCTCTCGTATAGTTCCGCATACATTAGGGACCCCCGGTTGAAACTTGCAGGGTAGTTTGCCTCCTGGCAAAAGGAGGCGGCGGCGAGGTCGTCGACGGTTGAGATGCGCCCTGGCTGAAGGACGAGCCGAGCGCCCGGGGAGGGTGGGTCGAGGGTGTAAACCGCACAAAGTAATCTTACAGAATGTATATGCAAAGAGGTTCACCGGCAGAACGGGCAGGGGTAGGGGGCACAGCTTGCATGATCCCATCCGCGACAACACCGACAAGACACCCCCAGAGGCAAACTTACCTCATAGTTCGAAGACTCTTCGGCCTTTGCTACTGTTACGCACCCCCGTCCTCGTGGCTGGTTCTTTCATCTCGTTCATTAGACTGTGTTCTTGTTTTTTCTTTTCGTTTGGAATATAAATTAATTAGTACTTTGTGAGATTGATTCCACAGAAGTACGAAAACCATCGCATAGTTTTGCGTCGAGTGAATATTTATACGTTTCAAAGATAGGATCTCAACGAATCGTAGTTGAACGTTCTGTTGCTTCTTTACTTGTACGAACGAGAGCTACACACATTCCACAGGAGTACAGTGAAGAGAATTATCTGTTGAATCAATGAGATACGACGTGAATTACTCGAGAAAGGGAAAAATTTCATGAACAATTTCCAAGAACAGTTTTACAGGTTCGGTGTTAATGGTCGGGCATCCATCAACCGACGCGTTTAGGCGTTCAAATTGAATTCCCGTGTCGCCACTCTTCGCCGGTGATTTGTTGGCGAACCAGATCCACCGTGACAGTTCGTTCTATGATAATCAAATGCCGGGCGAAGGTTTAATAACCGGTCCTCCGGTTAATTATAGGTCGTGTCGGTACCGTTCGTCGGGGCCAATAATTTATCGCCGTTATACTATACCAACAGGAACATCGAGATCCGTCGATGATCCGCGACCCAATTTTCTTTGGCGCCATCCCGGATCGAATTTCACTGGTGAATGTACCTATCTGTGTTCATACAGAACGCGTGCATCAATATAAACAGGCTTGTCTACAGGAGTAGTTAGCACCTACTGTTCCCCCCCCCCCCCTGTAGCAGTGCTAGATATACGCCTAACAGGTCCGTCGACATTTATTCCGGCCTATTACGAGTTAATCTTGGACGCATACACACAGCGTATTATCATTTAAATTGGTGCCCCGTTATACACGGGCATTAAATTTGTTTGCTTAACAGTCGTGTCCGACCCGCCCTCGCTTCCGCGGGAATTCTTTATGTCTTCGTGTGGAAGTAACCACTGTACACTGACGGAGAAGCGACAGGGGAAAACAAGATACACATAACGCGTCCATTGTTCCCGACGAAACGTTTTGTTCCTATTAGGAATCGTTATTTTATTCGTGGATTCGGTGTTGGATACCAGGGCATCTTTGGAGTAATAATTGAATGTAATTAGTTATCTTACGTGAAATTGTGATTTTTCAGTGGATATTCGAAGTAGATGTTATATTTTATTAATGCAGAAAGAATATACATACATGTGTATTTTATAAGATAAGCTTGAATCTGAAAAAAATTCATACAGACACTTAAACATAGTTGACTAATACATACTTTAAATTTCGATATATTTGAGTATTATTAACAATTTATATTAGGTAAATATGCCTAAAAATTGGCGGTCTTTGGAGTGATTTTTCAAACTATTGGAGATTTTTTTCAAGCTTTTTCTAAGGGCTTTAGAGATGCTTGGAGGGTTTCGATTAGGTCATTTGTGGTTCCATCAAGGATTTCCCAAGGTCTTCTGGGGATCCATGGATGTAAATATTCTCCGTA